CCCCCTCGCGGACGTCCATGTTGTTCAAGCTTACAAAGAGCTCACGATAATCGAATCGTTAAATAAGTTGTACGTTAAATAAATGAAGCTGTAATCGTGAAGAGAACAATACACGAATTATAGGATATTATACATGACTCATATATCAAGGATAACCGCGAGAAACTGAGGACGAAAGTTAAACAACTTTTGAATTTGTATGATTTATTCACACATAAAAACTAAGTGATGTATTTCGATCGAGTGTATTAAAGTCAAATGTTATGGTAGTTGTAAAAAATCGACGTGCGCGCTAAGAAAAGTACAAGACATATAAGGCAAATACGCATTTTTAATTACAATAGTTTGGTATGTTTAATTACAGAAGCAGTTACAACGAGTATTGCTGCGAGACTTTATGAACGTAAGGATTCCACGAGCCACGGAAGATAGTGATGAGGAAAACGCGTCGACACGAATTTGTTATAACGGGCAAAATTGTGGATGGGCAGTTTATGATCCATCTACGCGTAACATCCAGTATTTTATGAGAAACACGTGAGTGATCTGTAACTACTACTATTACTACTACGTTACTATTTATTAATTAATATTATGGTAATGTTAAAGAATTCGGCATTCCGGCATACGCCTTCAGAGCGCATATAATAATAAAGCGATCCATAAATTAGAGAAAAGAGTTGCTATTAATTTCATATTTAATTTATTTTCACGTTATATGTAAAAGTAAAAATTTTTAACGTAAAAAGAAAATGTTCAAATACAGATAGAAGATGGACTCGCCTCTGGCAATCGGGTTGTATGAAAATGTCACGTAGGGGAAGTTCGGGCAAAGCGGCTATATGTTAAGGAAGAAAAATAATATAGTTAAAATTAAGATCAGAAACCTTTTTAAATATAATTAACTTTCAAATGTAATAAGATATAATAGAACTAAAAATTCAAACATTTAAACCTTTTTTTAAACAAAATATGAGGAAAGTGAAATTATATTCGCTTTGTCCAAAGAATCTATTACAGCGCGAATTTGGAAAGGTCAGAATAAGTTTCAGTAACAAATGAAAAATTTTATCAAATATACTTATAAAAACAGAGAATTCTTATAAAAAATCATTCACACTGATTAAGGAACAATTATACTACTAATAATCAAGTTACATATCTATTTGTTAGCGAAAATCGCAAGAAAACTCTTAATTTTTTGTATTTCTTCATCAAACACTCGATCGTGAGCGCAATTATATATGTTATTTCGCACTTTCGTAGCGTTGCTGGCCGAGGACGTTCCTTCAACTGCTAGAGCGACTCATTGTCAGTGCTATCTAATTGTAGATAAATGAAAATAAAAAATATTCGTTTTGCCCGGGCTTTCCTTATGTAGGAAAGTCACGTGAGTCACGTTGATATTTTCGACACATGCGATGAATACGTGTCGTTTTTTTTACTCATTCGTTCGTTTATTTAATTGTTTATTTTTTTCGTTCGTTCCTGAAAACTTAGGGGAATTTATTAGATTTCTTGATTTGGTTTGTGCAGTTGTGAATGCCCGGATGAAAGCTACAAGTGCGTGCGCGTTGGGGACGATCTGTCTACGTACGCGTACGTGTACCGCTGTCGCCAAAACACGACGGCGGAGGACATTGAGTCTCCCGATGACACCATCTGAGACGAGGTCGGCGGCATCGTCTCGTCATTGGAACATTCGAACTCTACTTGCATCACGCCAACTCGCGGTTACCGCCATCGTTGTCCGTCTTCGCGATTCGTTATGACGTCAGCCCTTGGATTTTTCGATAACATTTTTATCCACACACGTTTTGAAAGTGATTTTCTCCTTTTCCACATCGTTTCATTACAATTAAAAGAGGATTGCGAATGAGCGACAGGTGCTCGCGACCGATCGAGTCAAAGTGCAATAATATCGAAATTCCTTATTGTTATCGTCAAAGTTGGAATTACTACGAGTACAAACGGCGCACTACCGATCCCAGCCTATATAGTTGCGGTCACGCGATAGTATCAATTCCCTTCTTGTCGCTTGAATTTTACAATTTCACAACGAGGATTAAATTTTCAATGCGATATATGTATATCATTAATATCATTATGTATATAAAACATGTTACATGTCTTAGTTTTGGATAGAAAATTTCCGATTTTTGAAAATTCGTTCAGTCGACGCTTGTCGCGTAACCGCGTTTACGGTAGTTAACGAATAGCAAGATTAAGTAAGCGATCAACTAATATTTTTCACATCGAGCCGTATATTTTATCTTTGTATCCTTTCTACTTTTATTGGAATTAGGTTAGAGAGTCTTCATATTTTTGCCAAGTAAGGCTCAAAATATGAAAAGACTTTCTGATCAACTTGATATTTTCACTACCGCGATGTACTTCCCTTTCATACCTGATTTTTTTCTAGAAATAATTAGCATTTATTGATGTTACTAGAGATTTTTAGGATTGCTGATTTTGAATCTATATAGTCAAAATGTGAAATAGAGCTGTTAGGAGTCGGCGCGCGGGTAAGTAGTGCGCAAAAAAATATATGTATACACACACACACACACACACACACACACACACACACATATATATATATATATGGTTTTAAACTATTATAATATAATTTCAAAAAATAATACATTGGATATATTAATACATCTGAGAGTTTGGATCGACGACAGACAGTTCGAATCTCGAATGACACGAATTAATTTAATGCGCTGAGATGACGCTTACAATTATTATATTACATTGAGGATGGCTCGAACGGAGTCGAAACATTTGTAAAATTTAATGTATTATTTTTTTAAATTGATAGTTTAAAACCATCAATATATATATTTACCCATTACTTACCGCGCCGACTCCTAACATCTCTCTTTTTTCAACTTTTTGTTTCTTAAATTAAGAAGTCCATTTCTGTTTAAATTTTTTTGTAATCAAAATTTTAAAATTCAAAATGTAAAATTTTTTTGGCTTTGAGTAAAACTCATATTCCAGGAGTTTATGAGATTGTTGATTTAAAATCAGTTTTTTCCATAGATACTTCTCATTAGTTGTTTTTCATGGCTATTTCTCATCAGTTGTTTGCACAACTACTTCTCAAAACCTCTGTAAAATAAGTTTCACTCAAATCCAATAAAATTCAGTATTTACTTGCCATATTGAATTTTGAAGTTTGATTAAAAATTCAGTGACCCCAAAAATCCTTGGAATACGAGTTTCAAATTCAAAAAGTAAAAATTTATTTACATTTTGATTCGCTATTTTGAATTTTAAAATTATGATTATAGGTTCATCAGCGCCTCTAAAAACCTTGAAATATGAATTTTATTCAAATCCAAGAAAATTTTGCATTTTGGTCAGTCATATTGAATCCGCATTTTGAAATTAAATAACGATTTTTTTTATATATAGTGCTTACGTTGATCTTCAAATGTGCTTTCGCTATCTTAATTTTTAAAAGATATATACATTTTTCACTTTATTTTATGAATTTTTGACAAGCGATATGCATTGCAGATCAAGAGGGAAAACTCTCAAGAGTGTTTTTTTATCTTTAAAATGAATCCAGAAAGAAGTTGCTATCTTTATTTTTGTGGAAGATATGGATTTTTGAAGGTTTGGCATATATGTATATCGTGCCACTAGGCATGAAAGGGTTAATTTTCATTCATCGAATTCGTCTTCAAGGATCGATTTGCGCGTAAGCATACTGTATTCTTACTTGCTTCTGATTGGCTCGTAAACGTAACACGTAAAATTATAAAATTGTTCAACATTATTACATTTAGCGCTAAAAAATTCGTCTCGCTCGTCGGTCAATATACGGCTTTTGATACGATCCTCATTCTTGATTTGGAGGAAAACGTAAAAACATATGCTTCAATTTACATTTGTTAAATGTGTTAAAAAGGTATAAATAATACGGGCAACATCCGTAAAAGCACTTTTTCTTACATTTTCTTACCATTCTTTGTACTTAACGAAGCATCCAAAAAATAATTCTCTCTTTTCGTACAATAGTAATAGTAGTAGTGGTGGTAGTAGTAGTAGTAGAGGTAGTAGTAGTAGTAGGTAGTAGTAGTGAATTATTTATGACGAAAGAAATTATTATTACGGTCGTCCTTTTATCAACTACTTGACAATCATGCGAGTGTCGATACAAATATGATTGCAAGTTATTTTATCCGTGACCTTTTGCCTTAATCGCATGGGCGAAGTTGTCGAGCTACAAAACCGCGAACAAAGCAAATCGTGCCGAATGGAAGCACCGCTTACGTATCGTAATCTTTCAAACACAGTAAAGAGCGAAAATGAATGCGAATCACAATAATAAATTACAATTGGACGTACGCGCAGTGAAATTTTTATACGTAAAATTATGTTTTTCAGTTGGTCAATTTGAAATTCTTTCAAAAGCTATTATACATATATTACTGACACACACATAATATTTAATTCATGAATATTTTATACAACATTAGCTACATATATATATATATATATA